AATAATAAATAACATAATATTTTTATATTTTTATTTTACAATATTTTTATTTAATATTCTTATATTTTGAAAAAAAATTTTTTTATGATTTTAAATTTGAATTTGAATGCATATTAGAGAGAATGAATTGATAAGGCTGCACAAATTTATTTATATTTATCAATTTGCATCAGTTTGTCGCTAAGAATTTTTCTTTTAGAACTATTAACTATTGGAATAGGGACAGGATGGTTCAGTGGATTGTTGCTCAATTCGGAGCGCCGCGCCGATACTAAGGTTCTATTCTCGACAGGAGTAAACCTATTCAAAAATCCGGGTAATGCTGGCGACTCACCTGTATTTCTATCGCCAAAAGACTCTCTGGCACATTTGTCCAATGCGGCAAGCCAGCGGGGCGAGTTTAACCAGTAATGGAAAAAAATTAACTACTGGAATAAATTACTTAAACCATGTTCTTTTTATCTTTAAGTTTATATAATTCGGTTATTCCCCTTTGTTTTGGCCTGAATTATCATTAACTTTATCATTATTATCATTAACTTCAGCGAATGATTTTGTGGCCAACTTGGCTTATATACTTTTTAAATCGTTCTTTACCTTCTCATCCTCAACATCGCGCCTCCTATCAGAAGCTTGATAAATTGATGGTTTTGTACAATATATTAACTATTGGCTTAGTGAGATCTCTGGTGTTGTTCGTGAAATCTGCTGAAGTCGCTTTTCTAGTTTGACAATCACGGCTCATAGTACTCCTATTACCGCTGGGATTACTTTGGCAATTACTTTCCATATCTCCTCAATACTCCTTTCAGCCATTTCTCTAACCTCATATTCTCGTATCCCTTCTTTCTAATGTTTTGTCACTTGGTATTGCTTTATCTATCGCGAGCGCTCATTTTTGGTCCTTGTTTTGGTCCCTCTATTATCACGATATCTGACTTGATTGGCCCATATTTGTTTGTCTGCCTGGAATAAAGAAATCCTCCAGGATCTTCGCCACATTATATCCACAATTTTCTGAGATATTCGCATAGATTAATTATTAACAGGATTTAGCAATGTAAACTGAACTTTTAAAATCAATACAGATAAAAACGATAATATTAATTTTAATTGAATTTAATAATAATAATTCAATTTAGAAATGATCATTGTTCGTCGATTTAAAAATCTCTCTATTTTTTTAATTCGCAACGAATAATTAATTTTTTATGCAAATAATAATCTTTAACAATTTTTTTGCAGTTTAAAATAATTTCAATAGAAAAAATAGAGAGAAAATCAACCATAAAATTAAAAAAGTTTTAAAAATAAAAATTTAGTTAATTAAAAAATTATGTAATTAATTTATTTAAAATGAAAATATTATATTAAAAAAAAATAATATTAATGCCACTTACAGCTTTTATAAAATTATATAATTAATTAAAAATAAAAATATTAAAAAAAATATTGAAATATTAGAAAAAATTGAGAAAATTAGGCTAAAAAAAAAACAAATACATTTTAATGATGAAAAGAAAATACATTTTCGATTATTTGAAAGCATATATCGCAATTCAATTCAATTAATTAATCTATTATTTTCGAGTATAATTAGTCATTTATGATGAAATAATCATTATTTTAGAATTATTCAATTTAATTTTTTTTTTCGTTTCGCTATTTTTAATTCTTTAATAATTTTTTTGTTCATAAAATAATTTTAATAAATTTCAAATTATTTACTCAAAAGTGTATAAAAATTTATTAAATTTAAGATTTTATAAATTTTTTAAAGAAGCACAAATTTCACTGTAAAATTTATAATTATATATATGCTCTTTATTAAAGACATTTATTTTTTTATACAAATTTTTTCATTTTTTAAATATTTTTTCTAATATTTTAATATATTTTTACGAAATGGACAAATTATTTCGTATAAATTCAATTTTTATTTTATTTTTACTTTTATAAATTTTAATTATATTTTATTAGAATTATATTAAATTGAAATTATATTTTCTAAATAAATATTTTGTAAATTGATTGACATTGACAATTAAATGATTAACCATTTTATGCTTAAATATTATTATTTTTATTCTTAAAATATTTTTATGCGTAAATATCACTTAAAATTATTATAATAGTTTAATAATAGCTGAAATATATGCTGCATTTCGTACTTAAACTATTTATTTTATATAAAATTATTAAGAGCGAGCACCATTTCTCATTAGGCGCACTTGGCTGCTCTGTGGAATTAGATAAATTTTGTCAGGAAATTACTTGGCGATAGAAGTAGAAGCAGGTTGCTAGTACCACTGTATTCTTGAATATGTCCATGTTAATTAATATAATCAAAATTCATCCTTCAAAACTATTTTATATAATTGATTTATCTTTGCTTAATTCTGATAATAAACCGAAACTTGTAATATTCCAAAAAGAAATAAACAAATCTTATCTCTTATCACCTCAATCATATTTTCTTATCACTCGAATATAGGCCCATTCTTATTACTATTAACTTTTGAAAAGAAATTACGTTTCGAAGATGTTCTAAGAATAAAACAACAACACATTTCGATGAAATTTTAACAAACATATAAATAATTCTATCAATTTTATCGTAATTTTTTTTTATTAGCGAAATTCTAATTCATAAATTACGCTAATCTATTCATCATAAATTTACTAATAGAAAAAGAAATACGCCATTCTTAAATTCGATAATATTATCACTGATAATCATAAAGAATGCGTAAAGTCTAAATTTGCCCTAAATTCCTTAAATGGTCTTTTTTCTCATTCACTTTTCTTTAAGTTTATTTATTAATATTACCTTTTTAAATTTTATTTTTTTTTAAAATTTAGATCAATTTATTTATTAAATTTAAAATAGTGTTTTAATTACAATAATAATTTGATACAATGAAAATATGCTATATTAGTGATTAGTGACAATTTTAACAAAAATTTATTTTATTCTGTTCAAATTAACGAAAATATATATGTATAAAAGAAGGTAAATATTATTGATAAGAATATCTAAAGAAAAAAAAAGAAATATGTCTTCTCATCGAATTATTCGCAAAAAAATGGCATAAATAATAGATAAAAGGCAAATAAGATGAAAAAAAAAGAAAGCAATAAATAATATTATATTATTATTATTCACAGAGACATTAATAATGATATGTTGAATGACACGCAAAATTTTTTTTGGGAAAATTATAAAAACTACAAAAATTATAAAAAAGAATTCTAAAAAATATTGAGAAACTAATCGAACAAATGAGTATTCTTGAAATTTGCAATTTGCAATAACAATATTTTTTTTTCTAGTTTTTTCATTAATTTATAATTTTAAATATAACATTAATATTTTAAATTGAAATGAAATAAGAAATAAACTGGGAAAAAATTCACCGATTTTTTAAAATTATATTCATAATTTCATCAAAACAAAAATTCAAAACATCTCGAATTTCTCGAGATTTTTCTTTTCGACTAAAATAAAATTAATTTAAAAATATTTGTTTTGTTATAAACAATGCAAATAACTGAAATCTTCCTGAAAATCATAAACTTTTTCTCTTAAATAAATAATTTTAATTTATAAAATTATTTTTTCATTTTTTTTCGAAAAATAACCACAATTCAGTGAATAAAAAAGAAAATATTATACATATCACTAATTATTAAATTACCAATAAATACTTACCAAGTTAAATTTCAAATAAATTTTGAAAAATTTTCTATGAAAAAAATTTCAAAATAAAAAAAGGAGGAAAAACAACCAAATTGTTTCAAATAAGTGATACAAAAAAAAATATGGAATGAAAATATCGATAAAAAAACAAAAAAAATCTACTGAAAATTTTTAGGAAATTCGTAAATTGATAAAAGTAAATCTTCATAATCAACAATCATTTCGACTTGAGAACGCCTTACTCGTGTGATCAACGGAACCAACCTAATCAAAAAATAATGGTACGACGTGGTACAGAAGAAGGGATAGAAGCAATTTCGATTTTAGTATTTCCTACTTTCATTCGCTCCCTTTCGCCAACTAAAAATTAATTCGTGTATATACCGTTTCACCTATAAATTAGTATTTATTGCATATACGAGAGTATTAAAAAATTGGTCATTTTTTGACAAATTTAAAAAATTCATAATAAAAAAAAACAGATAACGAGAATGCTTTCTTCTCTTCTCAAACATTTTTCCCTAAAATCATATTTATTTATCATTTAGCATTTATTTTCAAATAATGAAATAATGAACACAACGAATTTTTTTTTCATTTTTTTCCAAAATCATGAAAATTTATCTAAAATCATTTATTTCAATTTGAAAGCACTTAAATACTAAATGATTTCACAAAAAAAAATTTGAAAAATAGAAAATTCAATAAAACTAATAAAAAAAATAAGTGAAAAATAGACCCCACAAAAAAAATTCAAAAAAGATTAAATAACTAATAAATAATAAAACTTCACTGTTTTATGTTTAATAAATTATACGTTAAAAAAAAAGAGACCAAACAGTAGTAAACAATTCAGGATTATCTTAATCATCCATCCAATCACAAGTTGGATTTTAAAGTTTTATGAAATAAATGATTATTTATTGCCACATCGAAACATCGAGGGAAATTCACCTAAAGAAAATTTAAACAAAAAAGATTAAATAAATAATAAATTTTGACTATAGAAAAAAAAATTAAGCAAATAATAAACAATTAACAATTTCTGGGACTAAAAAAAAATCTTAACAACAAAAAAATCTGATTAGATTAGATATAACATTTATGATAACAATGATAACATAACTGATCAAAAAATATGAATAATATACAAACTATTAACAAATCATGTAAAATTAGCTTACTTTTTCAAGTAAACTATAATAAATTTAAGCAGAATAATTATAAACTGATTATAATTATAAACAGAATAATTAATTATAAACTAGCTTCATTTCTGAATATTAAAAAGGCATTCTGATTAAAGCATTCCAAATTCTCTAGCTTTATCCTCGAAATATTCTTTAAAAACCCATTGTTGATAGAGATTATCGGGATCGCAAGATTTCATTAATAATAATGCACCATCACGACTCATCTCCAAACATCTGTTCGAAACAACGTGAAGTAACTGATGCAACTGAGAATGGATGTTAGTTAATTTAAATTATAATCAAAATTATATTATAATTTAAATTATGCTGACAAAAATCAACAGCTATAAATGAAGCAAAAATGCAAAATTATCGTTTATGGTTCAAAAATTTTTTTCGAATTGAAAATTTCGAATGGTCAATTATTTACGTTGATTTCTATTTTAAAAGACCAAATTTTGAAAGAAAATAATAAAAAAAAAAGAAAAAACAGAATAAAATAAAATAAAAACGCACCGAATTGTCGTACTTCCATTCTTGATTGCCTTTCAGGCCATGACAAGGAAAAATCATTACATCACTTCCAGCATAATCAACGCATGACTCGTCTCTACGAATTTCACCATCCTTACTTAACATCCAATACTGAACAAATTAGTCGCTCATCATTTAAAAAATTAAATGTATGAAAAATTTTCAAAATCTAAAAGGTTCAAAAATTAAGTTCAATAATATTTAAAAATTAAATCGTATTAGAAAATTGTTTATGATAATAAATATTATCAAAATGAGTGAAAATTAACAAGCTAAACTTACCCAAATCAAACTGACTTAAATTCGCGCAATATAGCATAATTCGCGTGATCTTGCATAATTTATTAATATGTTTTAAGAAAAATACCGCGCCGTATTCCAAGAATAAATGGCGTAAACAATGTACTAAAGAACGAGATCGCTAAAAACTCGAAGAATACCTGATTTCCCCCTTGATTATGACACCAGTAGAGACCAATTTTAGTTTTCTTCTGACTGCGAGATGCCCAGTCCAAACAATTCTTAGAGCCACCTCCACGATTACGAACCTGGACAAGCAGAATTATCCAAATTGAACAACGACGTCATAATTAAGATCACGAATATTTCACTAGCGAACTCTCAGTAAAAAATAAAGTAACCGCGAAAGATACACAAAATAGCGATACAAAAATCAAGAAGTAAAACAAAACTTGAAAAACCGATAGCGGCGCGAAATAAAATATCAAAGTCATCATTATCTTAATAAATGTGATATGAACTATTTAAAGTGAGCGATATTAAATCAGCGACAAGGACAAACAAAAGCATTAATTCTATTGAATATGAGTTTAGATTAGATTAAATCTGAATTAAGTGCAATATCGGCGAAATTCTCGACATATTTAAAATGTACCAACGACGAACAACAAAAGAAAATCACTCGAATCAGAAGCCTAATCACAATCCTAATCATAATCGAAACACCGAAGAAAATGCCGAAGATGCACTGGTTGATCCAAAAATTATATAAAAAAAGCTATTCGCTAATATATTTCCTCAATAACGAATTCTTCTGTTCTAAACTATGAAAAAAACTTAACGAAGAATAAGAACGATGAAAATGTTTCGATGAAAAACCAACATTCCCGGAAAAAGAATTCCTTTATTCATTTTAAACTTAATTTATATATGTCACTTGTGAATAATATACATCTAGTTCCTCAAAATAGATAAACCTGATTCCCTCCTTGTCCATGACAAGGATAAGGAGTTATCGCCTTGCGAAGATCTTCACCAGCAGGACTATCCAAACACTGCCTTACATCTGAATTAAGCGGCATACCAAGATTTCGTACCTGAAATGATCACCACCAGCTGCAGACAGATACGACTTTTCTACTCTCTTGTATACTAATATGATTTATGTTAAAACCACGTAAATTATTAGGGGGAAGATGGATTCTTAATTTATTTCAACAGGGGTAAACTCGCCTGACTGCCTTCAAGGCCATGACATGGCTTGATATTTAATCGTGAATTAGTAGCAAGAAAGTGTACAATTGCATCCAAACAAAATCGAGCATTTTCACCAAAATTTCTTGCCTAGAAGTTTACGCGTTTATGCGATAAAATACGCAAAATTGCTACTCCGACTTAGTCAAGCAACAGCAAAACAATAATGCAATTCATTCAAAAGAGAAAAAGCAAGCAAAATTTATTTTTTTGTTTACCACGATTCGTAGTAATGCAAAATTTGAAAGATTCTATCTTAATTTAACAATAGTCTTAGATTGATTTACAATTGAAATTTTTTTTTAAATAAAAATCAAGTGTAAAATCTTAAAACTAGTGAAAAATTTAAATTTATAAGGCAATTACTGATTACTAATTCTTGAAGAGAACTTAAAAACGTAGAAGTCGAAATATAGAAGATAGTTCAATCTGACTTAGAACCACGATTTTTAACAGAGGCGTTGTTCGAAAATTACTGGAAGTTGAAAAAATAACATGGATAATCTTTGATTACAAAAAGTAACAATGAACATGCAAATAACAGTTCATGCAAATGTAATCACAATCAATTAAGAAGACAAAAGACAATAGAAGAATGCATTCTACGCCATGGTACTATTAAAAAATTGCAAAATTAATGGCACCAGAAAACTGAAAGCACCACTAATATATATAAAAAATAGGCGCACCAAATATGAGCTTAAGTTAATAAATAATATTAAAAAATGTGCAATAAAATCGAAAATTCAACATGCATTACTCTAAACATTTAAAATCCATGGATAATATATGCCAGATAATATAATATAGTGGATTCCTCCACAACCATTGGATTTAAAATTTTAGAAAATTATACCAATTTGATTTATGTGGAAAACACTGCTCAATACAAATATATAGTATCCATAAAAATTACTGAAACAAGTTAAACATCAAAAAAAGCAAAAATAATGTAGAGTAGCAAATTTTGATTATTTTATTAGCATAAGCTGAGGATGTGCTACTTTCGCGGGTACCCCCAATTGATTAATAGGCTTAAACCCCAAAATTAAAATAATTACGCATAAATTTTAGTGAATTTAGCAGATCAGTAACAGTCTTTCCAAGTATCCTGTAAGAATGTTAGTACCAATAATAATGAATCGAAATTGAAAAAAATACCCCCTAAAAGTGAACAGAAATACCTCTCCCTTGGCGATCGAATCTCCAGGAATAAATAACTCTGGATATATATTATCCAAATACCATTTGAACGATTTGCACTGCAATTTATTGCGCAATTTTTTACGTTCCGAAACATCGCCATAATCGCCCTTAAAACAATGCATTTTTATCATCCAAAATTTACCTTTCATATTTTATATATTCAAAAATAAATAAAACAGACTGATAGAGAGAAAAGAAAATAAAAATGAATAGAAAATGAAACTCACAAGCTGATAGTTGATCCTTTCATAATAATATTTTTTGTAATCATCAAGCCAAACCTATAATAGTTAATTCTTTTAGTGCCCCTATTTTTTATTTAAAAGAAACCACTTTTTTCTCGATGCCCAATAAAAATAAAATATCCCACATAACAAAAATTTGGAAAATTTTGGGAAATACAACAAAAATGTGTCGAATGACCTCTGCCAATCGAACTGAATTTCTTTTTAAAACATTCACTCCTGTTCTCCACTTATATGGCGATCTTTTTCGGAAAATATGCCCAACATGGCTGCACGGAACGATTTCTAAAGTGCCACCACACATCCAAATCTAAAACAATGTTAAGAAACAAACAGAAGAAATTTAAAAATGTTCCTAAGAAAGTACTCAATTTTCCTTCAAAAAAATTACCTTAAAAGAGATTTCCAGATTTTCACCGCCCCAAATGTCAAATTCGGGATCATACGTACCAAGTTTTTCAAAAAATGCTCGGTCAATTGAAAAAAGGCCGCCAGCCATCGTTGGCGATCTAAATTTCGAAAATACAGCACAATAAAGAATTAACTTCATATATAATTCAATTTCCGTAATTTCAACCTATTTTTAAAGAAATTTTCGAAAAAAAATTAGAATTAGCAATTAAATTAACAATTGGGAAATGCAACAAAAATGTGTCGAAATATGAATAAATTAATATATTCATAATGGTTTAATTACCTAAAGTTTGAGGAAATACTTAAAACAATGGTTTCATATAGGGAAATGAAAGCGAAAAAAGATAAGTTATACTGAATATAGTATACCAAATATATGAACACATGCTCAAATGCTATCAGTACACCTGGCAAAGATATTTACGCTGCTGATATGAAACTGAAGCCATTCATAATGAAAAATGTTGAGAAAAAAACTGACGACTTTATCGCCAGATTTTTTTCACATTTTTCGGGAAAAAATCTCGAGATATTTTCGGAGTTATATTCTACAAAACATACTACTAAAAATTAATGATGTTCGCTGAGGTGCTTAAAGAAAAGAACGTTGTTTCTGGATTAAAGATGAGAAAAAAGTCGTACCATTGTTAAAATAATTCAAGGAATGGATGGTTTAAATGATAATTGCGTATAATATAAAAAACATGGCGGACAATTTGCAAACTGAAATTGCACACGCACAAAACTGGATTGACAATACCAAGTTGTACGTACTACTTTAGAGTCACTCAAGTTCTCGTTTAATAAGCCTTAATTTAATACGCCTCTCAATGACAAAGTGGTAACAATTGTAGAATTAGAGATTCAAGATATTTACCAAAAAAATATAGTTATATTAACATATATTTACAAGACATATAATTATAATTATCGAAGGTGTACTTCTCAAAGTGAATATGGTGATAAGAAATATGCAATATACCAGAAATGTTTGTAAAAAAATATTGATCATTACTGTTCATCAACACACAGATCTTTCTTAAGTCTTATTTGGAGACCATTCAGAAAAAGGTGCCAAACAGAATTTACCAAACGAATGCTAACATTATCGGGAAAAGAAAAGATAGACTTTGACATTAAGCTCTAGCTTTTTCAAGCGTTTATAATAATAATATAGAATGATAATCCGGAAAATACTAATGCTTCGAACAGAGAAAAGAGTATCAGAAATTTTCCCTGTTAAGACCCTATTTTCGAACCAACAAACCTATCATTAGAAACCCAGGTAGTGCTGGCGATGCACCTGTAATTTTTTCGCCATGTGTCTATTTAGAAACATTTCATATCGCATTAACTGGTGGAACCAAAAACGATAAGCGTTAATCGTTTAAAGGATTTTCGAAATACAAAAAAAAAATGTAAAATAGAAAATATAAGATACATACCTTACGGGATCAATATCTCTTCGATTTTTACGATCTCTTAAAGGTATTGCATGCCAGTTGAATTGCAAATTCCAATCAAATCCACCAACATTTGTACCATGAGCCTTTGAATAATAAAATTCAAAAGTTTTGTCATCGATCACATCAATCACTGGACAGACTACATTTACTGGGTTACGTTTAATACGATCCAATAGCGGTTGGATCCATCCTAAAATCAAAGTAAAATTAAAAAATTCTTTCTATATTTATGATTTATTATTTATGAAAATTGAAAATTCAAAATAATGATTCACCTTCTAAGCATTCGCAATGAGAATCTAAAAATGTAATTACTGATCCAGATGAAACGGCAGCTCCTTTTAAACGTGCGCGAATCAAACCACCACGTTGGTTCATACGAACTATTCGTACTTTCTTGAATTGTTGCATGTATTTATCAAGAGGTTCCTAATAAAAAAATTGATATATGTTAATGTTTAGTTAAAATTTTTATTATAATTAGCTTAATGACGAAAAAACTGATTTATTTCAAGTTTAACATGAATTTATATAAATAATATTATATACGATACAAACTTTTAAATGTGGCATATCCGAGAAATCATCTATAAGAATAATTTCAGCTAAAAGATGATCCGGAGTACGTTCCAAAACACTATGGACGGTCCTTAATAAAACCGACCAAGCCTCATTATGAAAACAAATCACAACTGAAGTATTTGGAAGATTTTCATTATATTTTTCCATTCTACATCTGAAGAACATAAATTAATCACTTCAAAGCAGTCAGTGAATAAATATAAATGGATCTTCCACTACACTATAAAAGTGAAAAAAATGAAAAAAATTCAATGATAAAGATCTTAAAAAAATAAAAATGAAAAAAACAAACTCCTCGTCGATATAACTTGGAAGCTGACGATGTATTGAAATCATATCTGAAGCATATTGATTAAAGGCATTTTTAACAAATCCTTCATCGTATCTGGCTTTTTCCGCTGGAGATAATTTCTACAAATTGACCAATAATGAGTATAATAATCAGTCTACATAAGAAAAATTGGAAATCCATTAACGACAGCACGACCCATGTCAATTTCAAGTGGAAGTATAAATTACGAATTATTGCTTATCATATTACTTTATTATTTATTATTATTAATGTTATTAATTATTATTATTAATATTATTATTAACAAATAAACAATAATACAGGAAACTTTTTTTTCAGCCATAATGGTGGAAATGATCAGTGAAATGATCTGAGATAAAGATTGGATGGGATTCTCAAAGAATGCTTTATGCGAAGTTCTTTGCGCCAGAACTTTTATGCATAATGAACCATAATGCATATACAAACGTTGAAACATTCATTGCTATATGATTGTAAATGGCAAACCTACGACCAATAAAATTTCTGAAAAAAGTCTTCTGGCTGAACTCTTTTCAAAACTTATCTTCTACCCATTGTTACTACTTACTGATGTGAAAAGACGAATTAATGCAATAAATATCAAATGACTGGATTAAAGCAATCCTGCTTAAACCTTCAAGAATAATAGAAGGAGGATAAAAACCTATTGAGTAATTGGCCCAAAAATTTCTTTTTGTAGGGGAAATATTCGTTTTTCTTTTTCGGAATAAACTTATGACAATATGAGGCCTCCTAACTAAGCCGATTAAGGTGTGAGTCACCAAATGTTCAGGCATCAAATATCGGCAAATATCATTTATTTTATTGGCTTTACCATTACCATTTATAAAATGGCATAAGGATGTGATGGAAAGTGTTCCAGAGAAAATTATTAGATTGATCAAGGCATTTTACTAGCGTATATCAGTATAATTTTGTAAATATGGAGAATACCCCAATGAAATACGTCTGTACGTCCAGATTGTGTTTTTCGCCTCAATATGCGATTGAATTATGGAAATCTTTTGCTGGGATTCAAAATGTGTACAAATCAGTCCACAGTATAGCATCACAGACCTTATGCTGATAACGAGCTAATTTTTGTTATAAAAAATTTCAAGATGCTAGAAAAAATCAGGATACAAATCAATGCAGTGAGACGATAGACTTTTCGTGTACACCATTGATAAGAATACTTATTTTAAAAATTCATCAGCGACTGAGGAAGTATGAGATTTTAATTTCAGTCCACTCTAATGGGAAATGGCCAAATGGAAAAATGAAATTCCATGAGAATGAGACATCTATGGATATGAATTGATAGTCAAGAGAGATTTCTATAGATGAAATCAGGATGGTGCTGAGAACTCATATGTCCATTTATTATATAGGCAATACAAAGATAAGTAAGCTTAGACAATATGTGGAGTGTTATGGACCAAGTAGTTTGAAAATGCCTCATATTTATAGTTAGCGGAGCCATAAACAGTAATTATGAGAGTAAAAAGGAAAAGGATTTAAATATGAAAAAAAAGGATTTAAATATGAACGATAAATGCTTGTTTAATATAGTTTCGATTAAGTTCAGCCACTAAGTCTAATCTTCTACCGCCAGAAGCAAATCTCTCTACAAGTCAATCAGGATGGTGCTGCGTACTTATTTGTCCATCTATCATCAGATAACTTCTAGCGAAATGTCCTCATCTTAATACCAGTGCAATCAGCCAAAGAGAAATTGAACAGTCAGATACTTATTCTACAAATAAATCTGAACCATATAAGATGCCAAATATATAATTCTAATAATAAATAGGATTTAATCTCAACGATGAAAAATTTAAATTCAAAACTTACAGAGACGTTAACAATGACTGGTCTACCCATCTCTCCAGCTTGATTTTCATCACCCTTCCTATAAATCGGTGAATTTGGATCAAAAATAAAGTTGACTGGTTTCGGCACAACAGCATCCTAAAATATAAATTTAATAGACTATTTAGTGAAATAAAAAATATACTTGAATTATTGATATTTAGTCATATTTAAACTTACATCTACATTTAAATTTATATTTATACTTAAATTTATAAATTGTTTAAAAATTTACAACTCAAAAATTATTATTCGCGTAATTTTACAATATTCAATATAAATAAAGTACAGAATTTATCACCATTATAATTTAATAAATAAATTATACTGAAATTAATTTAATTAATTAAATTATTAGAGCAGGTAAGACAACAAAGTCATAATATTTAAAAAGACAAATTTTTTTTCCAACAATGCTCACCACTGCTTGTTAGGTTAATTCCTCTGGCTTGTTGGATCGAACAAAATTTGTTATCTGACGACAGAAATACAAGTGAGTCACCAACATCACCAGGATTTCTAAGAGAAACAGAAGTACCGGATTTTTAGATAGGTTTACTCTTGCGGGGAGTAGGACAGGACAGTAGGATAGGACAGGACATGGGCGCTTCAACAACCCATTGAGCCATTCTAATCCCCATATACCCCTACTGGATCAGGACATTAAAGATTTCAAAAAAAAACCCCAAACCCCAAACCTGTTACTTAGAACCTATTATTTCCTGCCGAGATTACAAAGCATCATCGCTCTCTATTGAGATCACTGAGCCATTTTACATTTTTTTCTAACATATTTATGAACGACATTTATAAAATTTATAGAAATATTTCCGCAGATTTTCGATTAGTTTACTAAATTTTTTGAATATGGATGAATACCACATTATAATCGAAATGAACCGATGAACCCTTTCTTCCTGTTCTATAATTTTGAATTGAATTGATTTTCAAAAAACAATTTGGTGACAATTAGAATCAGTGCAGCTTAGAAAAATTCGCGATCCCATGACAATTTTGAAAACCCTAATGAATGAACCTTAATGAATATTTTGTACACATAGAACCCAAATCTATTTTTAAATGTTCTAAATAATAGGTTTTTTTATTAAGAGTTTTCACTGTTACTGGTTATACTCGCTCCGTTGGCTTGTCGCATTATACATACCAGAGTCCCTTGGCGATAGAAATACAACAAATAAGTCGCCAGCATCACCTGGATTTTTCGACAGGTTTACTCCAGCGGGGAAAAGAACCTTAGTATCGGCGTTCCAAATTGAACAACAACCCACTAAGCTATCCTCCTATTCTAAGCTATTCTAAGTTGGAATTTTTGAATTTCCAACAAAATTTTTAAATGCCTTGATCCAATATGGATATATGGGATTTAGAATGCCTCAGTGGGAAACTGTTTAATTGAGAGCGATGCTGAGGTTCCTCGCAGAAATAAGCCCGACCAAGCGATGATGGCGACTCATCTATTACTTTTCTCACCAACAGACTCCCCGGCATATTTGTCTTGTACGATAAGCCAGTGCAGCGAGTCTAAGCACTAATAGTGCGAACTCTTATTTGTATCAGCCGGCAAGAATTGAGGTCTGCAATTCAGTAAGACGAAGATGACAAACTTTCATAAATTCCTTTAGCTTTATCCTGCGACTTTTGATGTAGCATTTTCAACATTTCTTATTATATAGCAATTCCAGTTTTAAGCAGTCATTTTCAGATCAAATCCTTATAAATAAATCCATTAGATGATGGAAGCATTGTTCACTTTCAAGTAAAATGGATAAGTGACTATTGCGTAACACTTATCATTAAATTTTAGAAATTTCGGAAGAGGATCTGTCAATGCTTTTGATATCATATCTAGTCCTTTCATACAGGAAAAATTTGCATTAAATTGCATTGCAGGACGCCTTTTCCTTAAGCTTAAATTAATCGGCTCTTCCTCAACCTGCAATTAATTTATAAAAGTTTTTTTTAAACATCTTGGATCTGATACCGAATGACCAGCGAAAAGACGAAGTTATAAACCGGATAACTAGCAGCTAGAAATGCGTTGGACGAAACCTTCATAGGGCCTCGCGAAATCACCATAAAAACTAAAAACCGCGTCTATACAGCCGTGATCCGTTCGATTTTGCTATATGGCTCTGAGGCATGACCAAAGAGAGTAAAGGATATTAAGAAGTTATCTACCTTTGATCACTATTGCCGAAGATACATTTTGCGGGTTCACTAAGTGGATAAAATCTCACATGATCGCATCCACCTTCGTTCAAATACTACTTGCATTAAAATGCCATCATAGAACGTCGCTTTCGCTGGTTAGGACACGTTCTTCGTCGCCACCACAAGAGTTGACATATATTTCATTATTTGCTAAACCCTATGATAGGTGGTGTCAAAGGCGAGGTGGGCCAACCAAGATTTGATATAGCCAGGAAAGATTTTAAACGCATAGGTGGATCAGCAATATATAAACTTTGACGATGGAAGAGGGAATGACTTCTATTACTGTCGATGATGGCATCAGATCGTACGATTTCGAAACGTCCTATCCTCATGGCCAATGCAACCAGCCTCCTACTCAGTAAAGATGAGACCTGTTAGAAGAAAAAAATCCTCTTTATCAAGTTTAACATTTGTAACTAATAAGTCTTCGGCTTTTATCATATTTATGTTAGATTTTATTTAGATTTAGTCCATTTTTTATCCTTTTAAGAGATTCGATAGAACCACATATTATCTCATCCTTTTACGATAATTTTTATGATTTAAGTTTCTTCAATGGTTTTCAAAAGATATTCACAATTCATCTTTTTCAAGGACAAATTATTTCTATTTTCATTCAAAATAGCCATGCAGAATCTGATAAAAAGATCAAAAAAATAAATGAATAATAGAAAAAATCATTAATAACGAAGATGAGTTAATCACTCACTAATGACTATCACCTAAATATCATATTAAAGGAAAAATTTCGTAAATTAATCAAATAAAATTAGAAACTATTGAAGATGAAATAATTTAAATATATGAAATCAATTTATTTTATTTATTTTATGAATTATTTTATATTTTTAGAATTTTGATTAATCAATTGGAAATTCAAACAAAAATTCTAAAAGAAAAAAAAAAGGAATTTTCATAACAACAATGCAAGTTAACACAAATTATTTGACAAAAACAAAATAAATATTAAATAAACCCTATTAATAAAAAAAAATATAATTTGAAAATATTTATTAAAACTAACGTTAAAAAAATTCTCTTCTTGTCCCACTTTTTTATCGTTATCACTATTAATATTATTATCTTGATTATCGTTCATTTTCATTGGTGGACCAAATCCTTCAATTTGATTTATTCGTGGCTTGTTCACTTTTTTTGTTTCACTTATAGCATTATTGTTCACTATACTTTTTCCTATATTGTTATTTTCAACCTAAAATGAAAAATTTTAATGAATAATTTTATATGTTTCGAATGCGAATAATAATAGTTATTATCATTATAATTATAGTGATAAAGAAATCTAATTAGTAACAAATGAGCGAAAAAACATAGTTAAAAATCAAAAAAATTTTTAACTTTAAGATTAAAAAATTTATTTGATTTTAACACCGTAAAATTTTTTTAAAAAATTTTCAATTCTTTTTCAATTTTTATAAAAACGAAAAATAATTTTTATAATCAACAATAAATTATATAAATTGAAAATAGCAAAAAAATTCAACAACAAACATTTTATTTAATTTAATTTTATCTTGAAAAAAATGTTAACAGTTATAATAAATTTAATAAAGCTTACCTATGATGCAAATAATTCGTTATTTATGAATTTATAATTTTTATTGCCTACTTTATGCCATTTTTTAAAAATTGAAACCAATAATTAAAGAAGGTTAAAAAAATTATAATATAAATGGAAAAAATAAAAAACCAAATAAATTAACGAAAAATCCAAGAAAAGTTATTAAATAAATAAACTGTGAAAAAAATAATTTTTAATGTTTTTTAATTCATTCAAATATATTTTTTCAAATATTTCAAATTGAATTTAAAAAATATTTAATATTAAATATTAAAAAAATATAAAAAAAACTAACCTTAACGTAATCCGTTTTAGAAAAAAATAAAATAAGACATAACCATAATATAGTAATTATAATAAAAATTTTTAGAACAAATGAACGTCGCCTTGGTAAAATCATTCCTTCCTTCCTTCCTTCTTTCGTCAATTTAATTATTCCTATTTCTTTGTATATAAAAATTGCCGTTGTTTATCGTTTATAAGGTAGAATTTATGCCCAAGTTTCCTTTTCGTTATTTAAATTCTAAAATCAATAATATATACATAAACATACAGAAATCAGTGATAAAAATCAGTGATAATCAAACGAAACAAAAATCTAGAAAATTTTTTTATCAAAAATCCTAAATTTTCCCCTAAATTTATCGCCATTAAACGAAGTAAAATTAGCAAAATGAAAAAAGAAAAATAAAAGAAAAAAAGACAAAAATATCAGATTTTAATGAAAAATTCAAATGATTATAAATTTTTTAAATAAAAAAATGATAAAGAAAAATACCAAAAAAAATTCATATAATGGTTCAGTAATTAACCATTTAATTAATTTATAATTAATTAACCACAAAAAAAGAAAGTACAAATTTAATTTGATATTTAATTTTTATATTTAATATTCAATTTTATATTTTTATATTTTTACATTAAAAATATTTAATTTTTACCAATTTTACGCTAAATATTTTTCAATCAAAATTATTAAACATTAATATTATTATTTCAATAATATTATTTCACCAACAATATTATATAATATTATTATAATAATATTATAATATTTAATAATATTACAATCATTACTGATATTATTACTTTTATTAATATTACTATGGTAAAAAAAGAATAACTGGAAGATAGAAAATGAGAAAATGAAAAAAAATTAGAAAGATTATAGATAAATAAATTTAGAACTATAAAAACATCAAGAATAAGGCCAATCTACAAAGAAGCATAAAAAGAACAATAATTTTGCGATTGAGAATGCAAAATAAGGTTTAAGACGAAGTGACTAGAGAAGGATTCTGCGAGAGACAAATGAAGGCAATAGAAGAAAGAATGATTGATAGGAAGAGCGAAGAGGAGAAATGAGACGAGGTAAAAAAGAAAGAGGAAAACGGAAGGACCGTATTAAATTGTATCAAAAATGAATGCGTTGATTTTATTTATTTAATAATAATACCCTTTAGATTTTAAATATATACGAATGGGAAGCGACGAGGATCATCGCCGTCATCTATAAATTTTCAATTATTTTATTGAGCCGTACGCTTTCTTTTAAATGCACATACTTTTATAGAGTATTTGTCCCATATATACGAAAAGTCAAAAGGTCAGAACCGCCATGCATTCAAACATGCATATATGCACATACAAATATACAAGAAAACTTTTTTCATCTCTCTGGTGTGTGGTCACAATTATCTTCAATCTCGAGTCCTCTACCAGAGGTTTGGGAGAATGAGGATTCTGCGCGCAATATAATGTTCTAAGTTCTAAGTTCTTCTAGACAGAGATCTCTGATGTTGTTCTTGGAATTCCCAGCCTAAAGAAGTAGAATAGTCGGATGGCCATTCTTTAAATTATCATAACCGATTTTTAACCATAGCATAAGTGAATTCTGTAATTAAAAATGAAATCCATCTGTTATTGGTGCCTGATATGTAACCACGGCACCTCTTGACAAAATTACCTCATTTTTATGGTAACCAGTGGAGCGAGACTTACGAAAAATGTTTTGACGAACACTGATAAACATTAACTATCTTTCTTAATTTCCCAACTTTTCAGTTGATATACAATTAAACGCTCTATTAAGACTGACCTCTGACCCTAGAATAAGCCAAAGTTCATGGTTCAAATTAAATAAACATTTTTTCTAGAAAAATTTGCTCGTTTGAATTTAAAAATACATATTGGTTCTCGTTCAACCAATGTCTATAATTTTCGCTCCTTAAAAAACCTTATCGAAAAGTTCGGCCAATTCGCAATATTTTTAATATAATTGTAAATGGAACTTATGAAAATTACTGGTAATAAATTTCAAAGATCAGAATTTAGACACAAATTGATTTTTATCAATTTAAATGAAAATATTATGAAAATAATGAAAATGAAAATAAACCAATTCAGAGGTATTTCTGGCACTATCATATAATTCGCGCGAAATAATTCTTTACAAAAAATCAAAATGCTAGGAATTAAAAAAGGAAACGAGCGAGACGTATGGTAGACGTAGACAAACGAATCACGAAGACCAAACGCACCATAATCAATATGGCAACCATGAATCGGCAATGAGTTTACGGTTTATGATAATGATAATGATAATGATAACAATGATAGCGCTAAAATTTATTAGAAACTGAAAAGAAAAGAATTACTACATCTCATCTTTAATTATCTATTTATTTTATTTCGACGAAAGATGAGGGAAAAACAACAAAAAAAAACCAAAAATATTTAGACATTTTTAATTTTAAGGATAAATAACAATTTGATTCATTGTTTTATTTATTTTAATATTAATTAATCGTAAAA